GCTTTGTGAATAAAGATACTACTCTGATAGACAGTACCAGTTCTCAGCCACCAATAACCTGATACTCCCATACTGTGTTTAGAAGAAACACAAAACAATGAAGAGTGATTGTGACTTTTCAATGTGAGTTCTATTCACAGAGCTCATATACTTTTTCCCCGCCTTTTGATACTATTCGTCTCTTTCTATGCTTTAATGGGAAGATCACACAGCAGTTGTTTTCTCAGTACAAAGTATAGCTACAACTGAGCTTGCGTTGAAGATCTTTGACAAAGATGCAAAGCTGCTGTCCAGAAATGTTCTTTTCTTTCCATTTTTCTCTTGTACTTCCCAGTATCTTAAGAATCCTTGAGACTGGGCATGATGACTCATGCCTATAATCTCAACACTTTGGGAGGCTGAGACAGGAGGATCACTTGAGTCCAGGAGTTCAAGACCAGCCTAGGCAACATAGTGAGACCCCCCCCATCTCTACAAAAAAATTTAAAAATTAGCTGGGCATGGTGGTGTGCGCTTGTGATCTCAGCTACTTAGGGAGGCTGAGGTAGGAGGATTGCTTGAGCCTGGGAAGTCAAGGCTGCAGTGAGTCGTGATTGCACTACTGTGCTCTATCTAGCCTCCAACCTGGGCAACAGAAGCGAAACCCTGTCTTTAAAAAAATAATAAAAAAAGAATATCCTTGAGGATTGGTTTTGAGCCAACGGAATGGGAGCATATGGTAGAGTCTCAACACTCTGACCCTAGTCCTTCTGACAGGCAGTCACAAAAGGAGATCATGAAGTCTCTAAGAGCAGCTGATGAAAATGGAAATGGGAATGTAGATGTTCAATCAGCAGCCCTCCAGACCCAGAGTTTGCTCCTCTGTGGTGTCTCTAGGTGGAGAGTAAGGACTTGATTTGCCATTCTGGAGTGCAAATATCTAGCTTTTTGCAGCTTCACATTAAGACTTCTTGAAATGTACTTAGTAATATCTATGTGTGACTTTGCCAAGTGATGGCTTTGGGCTGGAAAGGATTTTAGCAGGTTTTAGTCTAATTTAAGCCTAATCTAACACTGCCGAGAAAGGAGGAGATGTCTTTGGTTTTACTTTCAAATATATGGTACCTCTTAGCCGGGTGCAGTGTCTCATGCCTATAATTCCAGCACTTAGGGAGGCTGAGTCAGGTGATCACTTTAGGCCAGGAGTTCGAGACCAGCCTGGCCAACATGGTGAAACCCTGTCTCTACTAAAAATACAAAAATTATCTGGGTGTGTTGGTGCACACCTGTAATCCCAGCTACTTGGGAGGCAGAAGCAGGAGAATCACTTGAACCCAGGAGGCAGAGGTTGCAGTGAGCCGAGATCATGCCACTCCAGCCTGGGCAACAGAGCAAGACCCTGTCTCAAAAAAAAAAATTATCTGTCTTCTTTTTCTTTTTTTTTTTTTTTTTTTTTTTTTTTTTTTTTTTTTTTTTGAGACGGAGTCTCGCTCTGTCGCCCAGGCTGGAGTGCAGTGGCCGGATCTCAGCTCACTGCAAGCTCCGCCTCCCGGGTTCACGCCATTCTCCTGCCTCAGCCTCCCGAGTAGCTGGGACTACAGGCGCCTGCCACCTCGCCCGGCTAGTTTTTTGTATTTTTTAGTAGAGACGGGGTTTCACCGTGTTAGCCAGGATGGTCTGGATCTCCTGACCTCGTGATCCGCCCGTCTCGGCCTCCCAAAGTGCTGGGATTACAGGCTTGAGCCACCGCGCCCGGCCTGTCTTCTTTTTCTATACATATACATACATGCATATATATGTATATATGTACATATATATATATGCACATACACATATATATATATGGCACCTCTTTTTTTTGAGACAAATCTCGCTCTGTTGCCAGGCTAGAGTGCAGTGGCATGATCTCGGCTCACTGCAACCTCCGACTCCCTGGTTCAAATGATTCTCCTGCTTCAGCCTCCCAAGTAGCTGGGATTACAAGCACGTGCCACCACACCCAGCTAATCTTTGTATTTTTAGTAGAGATGGGATTTCACCATGTTGGCCAGGATGGTCTTGATCTCCTGACCTCGTGATCCTCCCACCTCAGTCTCCCAAAGTACTGAGATTACAGGCAGGAGCCACGGTGCCCGGCTTTTTTTTTTTTTTTTTTTTTTTTTTTTAAAGAGATGGAGTCTCACTCTGTTGCCCAGGCTGGAGTGCAGTGGTGCGATCTTGGCTCAGTGCAACCTCTGCCTCCCAGGTTCTAGCAATTCTCCTGCCTCAGTCTCACAAGTAGCTGGGACTATAGGTGTATATCACCTCACCCAGCTAATTTTTTGTATTTTAGTAGAAACGGGGTTTCACCGTGTTACACAAGCTGGTCTCAAACTGAGTTCAGGCAATCCACCCGCCTCGGCCTCCCAAAGCGCTAGGATTACAGGTGTAAGCCACCGTGCCCAGCCTATATGGTACCGCTTTAGGAACCAGCCCTGGTTAATCAGACACATGGCTTTCATGATACCTTTGCTTGAGTAGCTTAATAACTCAATAAATCAAAAGATGAATAAATATTATATGTGTGAAGATACTCTAATAGATAATAGGCAATTAAGAATGGACATTCACGGCCGGGCACTGGGGCTCATGCCTGTAATCCCAGCACTTTGGGAGGCTGAGGCGGGTGGATCACGAGGTCAGAAGGTGGAGACCATCCTGGCCAACATGGTGAAACCCCATCTCTGCTAAAATACAAAAAATTAGCTGGGCGTGGTGGTGGGTGCCTGTATTCTCAGCTACTCGAGAGCCTGAGGCAGGAGAATCATTTGAACTTGGGAGGCGGAGGTTGCAGTGAACCAGGATCGTGCCACTGCACTCCAGCCTGGTGACAGAGCAAGACTCTGTCTCAAAAAAAAAAAAAAAAAAGAAGGGACATCTACTGAAGGTGATGCATCATCCTACCCATTCATTAATCTAACTCCCTACAGGTTACTTCCTTAGGAGACACTGACAGGTCTCTGTTTTCTGAAATCCAGAGAAAGGCAGCAATGGGGAGGGGTGCAGTGTATGTGTGTCATACCTGTGCTTGGTATATCTGGGTTGCCTGCGTATGATAGCAGCTGGGGAATCAAATCATAGGTAAATTGTTCTCCTACAGGTTTGTCCTATGACTACCTATTCTTATTAAGCAATTGGCTATATTGACCCTTTTTGGTTTTGGAAAAATAATAATAATTTTTTTAAGAGAGAAAAAGAAACAACTGGCTATGCTTCAACAGTGATATTAAAACCATTTAACATTCTTTAGCAGTGGTCACTGTCCACTTACGTCTAACTATGTGCAGGTTGAGAAAAAGTACTGCCTGAGTTATAGATGATCCTGTGGGAATAAGAAATCATTGCTTCTTTAACACATGAGGTAAAAGTAATCTCAAAGTTCACATGCTGATGGAGACTCCTGGCAAGGGGAGTTCCCTACCCTCAACAAAATGTCATCCACAGCTACTGGAAGATTTTTGTTGTCTGAGAAGTATAAAGTGCCTTAGAAATACCTGAATCCATTAATGCCTCCAGCTGGTGAAATCAAAATTTGCAGGTGACTGAAATTGACAGTAGTGCCTTGTTTTGGTTCACTGTTCAAATGACAACCCACATGTTTTATGGATTGGGTATATAGATGTATGCTCTAAAAACAAAATCTCCCTCCAGAGCCACTGTGTACTAAGCACCAGGTCCTCCAGCGATAGTTGGCTCTATTCAGTCTTTCATTCATTCAGCAAGAGCTTACTAAGCTCCTTTTTGGTACCAGATACTGTTTGGTGCTGAAAATAAATAAAAGGCCAGCAAGATTAAGTAGACTGTAAGATCTGGACCAGTAATTTGACAACACAAAGTACTGTTGCAAAGATACAGTTTCTGATATGTAGTGACCATTCTCTATGAAAGCTTAGTCTTTCAGGAGATTAAAATGGGTGGTGAAATTGTCATACCTAGCAAGCAAGCAAGGTGAAATGAGTGGCTATTTGACTCCCACCTGCTGATGCGGGTCTTTTTTGGTTCCTAGGGCTTATAATGATCAACATTTCTTGAGTCCTCACTATATTGTATGCTCAGCTCTTTACATGTACGAATTTACTTAATCTTCACAACCACCCTAAGAAGTAGGTACTGTTGTCCCTACTTTACAGATGAGGAAATGGAAGCACAAAGAAGTTAAGGACCTTGCCGAAGATCATTGAGTAGAGGCAGGATTCAAATTTAGGGAATGCAGCCCACAGTCTATTCTCTTAAAGATGTTATATACTGTCTCTGGGCTTAGAAGGGTTCATTTTAGGTCAGACATGGTGGCTCACGTCTGTAATCCCAGCACTGGGAGGCTGAAGCAGGCAGATCATGAGGTCAGGAGTTCGAGACCAGCCTGACCAACATAGTGAAACCCCATCTCTACTAAAAATACGAAAATTAGCCGGGCATGGGGCTCGGGAGGCTGAAGCAGGAGAATTGCTTGAAGCCAGAAGGCAGAGGTTGTGGTGAGCCGAGATTGCGCCACTGTATTCCAGCCTGAGTCACAGAGTGAGACTCTGTCTCAAAAAAAAAAAAAAAAAAAAAAAAAGACGACTGAGCGCAGTGGCTCACGCCTGTAATCCCAGCACTTTGGGAGGCCGAGGTGGGCGGATCACCTAAGGTTGGGAATTTGAGACCAGCCTGACCAACATGGAGAAACCCCATCTCCACTAAAAATACAAAATTAGCCAGGCGTGGTGGCGCATGTCTGTAATCCCAGCTATTCTGGAGGCTGAGGCAGGAGCATTGCTTGAACCTGGGAGGCGGAGGTTGCATTGAGCCAAGATCACGCCATTGCACTCCAGCCTGGGCAACAAGAGCGAAACTCTGTCTCAAAAAAAAAACAAAAAAAACAAAAAATAAGAGGGGGTGCTTCATCTTGACGAACTTCCTGCGTTGGTAGAGCTTGGTAGAGTGGTCCTTCCCAGATCCTTCCCCGCATACAGAGCCTGTCTCTTTTCTGATTGGTCCCTAAGGCCAGATTACCTGTCCCTATTACTGAGCAGAAGCTGGTGAATGAAACAGGAGATCCCTCAGTCAAAAAAAAAAAAAAGGAAAAAGAAAAATGAAGCAGGAGATCCCTTCTCTACAGCCCAGATGTAAGTCCAGCTCTGCCCTTCACCACCTGGGTGACCCCACCTCTATGAACATAGGTCCTAATCTGTAAAGGGGAGATAATGTTATTTCATCGGATCATTTAGGGAATTAAATAAAATAATGTACTTAGCAGTTTCTGGCTCTGAGTAAGTGCTTAATAAATGTTAGCAATTTTTATTATCATTGTCCTTAGCCTTGAGAACAAGCCAGGGAATAGTTTCTCAGACCAGATGCTAAGACCTAGGTAGATGGGCAATTTTCCTTGGTTTTGACAAGAAAATAATTTTATCCTGTGTATTTCTCTTGACTTTTTTGATGTGAAAAGCAGAGAGGTAAAGCATTATTTGACAGATGTATGGATTCAAGCAAGAAACTGAGGTCCAATTGCAAAGAAATGGCTTGTATAACTCAGAGCCCTGTCTGAGGAAACACAGAGGACCCTAGAGGGCGGAGAATGAACACAGCGCAGGGGCTAGTTCCAGAGTCGCATTCTCGGTTAGTTCACTTTCAAGTGTGGGTGAGGGTCCCTTGTTAGTAGGCAGAAATTTTTTTTCCCCTTCTCCAACACATATCTGCTGGCTAGTGTTTATTAAACAAAACTTTATTTTAATGTGAAATAGAATTCCTGACTTGTCCAAAATGGAGAGGCAAGGGAGCTCTTTAACAGGCTTATTGAGCCCCTTTTCCCACCTGTTCCTGTGCCAGACTTTCCCAAAGGCTTACTTGCCAATGGTTGCTCCTCAGATCTCAGGGCTAGCTCACTCTATAGGCTCCAAGCCAGAGTGATACCGCCGCCGCCGCTGTTGCTCCCACCAACCATTCAGTTTCCTGCTGTAAGGATGTAACTTGCTGTGAAGCTTTCACCTTCCTCCTTTCTTCCTGTCTTCAATGTTGTATGTCTTTGTCCTGGTGCTTTTGCCATACAGCCAGTGTTTCAAAGAAAATTTTCAGGCACTAAAGTTATAGCCCTTACTCCCTTTCCAAGGAGATGTGAGATAGCTGTGGAAAAGAAGAGGGCTCCTCTGCCTCTGTGCAGAAGGAAGAGTTTACTTCTTGATAGTGTGCTAGCTCCTGAGCTAGGTGGGGGCCTTTACTCAAGAGAGCGCATTACGTGACCTCTGGACAGGTAGACTGGGCATAGCCCGTCCAAGGACAGCACCCTAACCTACAGGAACCAAGGCCGAAGACTGATTTTACCTTCTCACACTCCCATTTCCTAAGCTAAAGCTTGCTCTGCAACACTGCCCCAGGTCTGTGGCTTAAAACAGCGATTTCCTTTGCCAGTGAATTAAGCTCACTCTTTATAAAATGTTTCAGCTTGGGGATTGGAAAGGCTCTCTGTGCCTTTCTGTCTCTGTCTATTTCTCCAAGGGTTGATGTTGATGGCTTCTGTCTTTGTCTTTACAGGGAACTCTAATGATCCAGGACAAAGAAGTTACCCTCGAGTATGTACCAAGCCTGGATTTTTGGTACTGCAAACGAGTAAGTACCAAGAATCCCTTTCTTTAGAAGTAAGCATCTGGAATAACAGCTCCTCCATATCTCTAGGAAGGCTGCCTGCTGACATGCATTCCCAAGGACAAAGGTCTTCTTCCTCAGGTCACTTCAGTTGAACAGGAGGAGGTCAAGACAAGGTCATTCATAATTTCTCCTTCCTGGCTGCTACATGTGGCCATAGAGGGTTCTGGACCTGCAGTTGGAGACACTTTCCCAAGGACATGTGCCATTATTTCTATCAGTTATAAACATAACAGTTCCTTGACATATAATATCTTCTCACCTCTCCTAGAGGTGGTCATAAAGGAATTCTTGTTTGGAAAAGTAGGTTTGGAGAGACTAGTTCTTTAAGAGTTGTACATTTTTTGGATATTCTTGGGTTTCCAAGGATATAGAACTTCAGACACCAAGGCATTTTACCTCTATTAAACTCCATATTCTCTTAGAGTGGGATATTTAAAATTTTAGGCTATACTCTTTTTTTTTTGGAAACAGAGTCTTGCTCTGTTGCCCAGGCTAGAGTGCAATGGCGCGATATCCGCTCACTACCATCTCCGGCTCCTGGGTTTCAGCGATTCTCCTGCCTCAGCCTCCCAAGTAGCTGGGATTTCAGACATGTGCCACCTCGCCTGGCTAATTTTTGTATTTTTTTTTTTTTTTTTTTTTTTTTTTTTTTGAGACGGAGTCTCACGCTGTTGCCCGGGCTGGAGTGCAGTGGCGCGATCTCGGCTCACTGCAAGCTCCGCCTCCTGGGTTCACGCCATTCTCCTGCCTCAGCCTCCTGAGTAGCTGGGACTACAGGCGCCCGCCACCGCGCCCGGCTAATTTTTTGTATTTTTAGTAGAGACGGGGTTTCACTGTGGTCTCGATCTCCTGACCTTGTGATCCGCCCGCCTCGGCCTCCCAAAGTGCTGGGATTACAGGCTTGAGCCACCGCGCCCGGCCTAATTTTTGTATTTTTAGTAGAGATGGGGTTTCACCATGTTGGCCAGGCTGGTCTTGAACTTCTGACCTCAAGTGATCCACCTGCCTCGGCCTCCCAAACTGCTGGGATTATAGACATGAGCCACCACACCTGGCCTATTTATTTATTTATTTATTTATTTTCAGACAGAATCTCGCTCTGTCACCCGGGCTGGAGTGCAATGGCGCGATCTCAGCTCACTGCAACCTCTGCTGCCTGGGTTCGAACGATTCTCCTGCCTCAGCCTCCCGAGTAACTAGGATTACAGGCGCCTGCCACCATGCCCAGCTAATTTTTTTGTAGTTTTTAGTAGAGATGGGGTTTCACCATCTTGGCCAGGCTGGTCTTGAACTCCTGACCTCATTATCCATCCACCTCGGCCTCCCAAAGTGTTGAGATTACAGACGTGAACCACTGCACCCAGCCGGCTATGCTCTTTAAAGGTCCAGTTTGATTGCAGTGAGCATGAAAATATAATTTGTTTTCATTGCTACTACTTAGTGTCAAAAATAATTATGAAAAATGTGTAAAGTTTCTGAGCCCTGACACACTAAAAATGTTACAGTACTTGAATAAATTTAGTAAAGACGTTAGCTTAACATTCGTGTTAGTAGAATACAACTTGAATAGCTATGATTGTCATTAGCCAAAGTACTCATATTCCATGGATATACTCCCTTAGGTTGTCATTTTAGGAAGATATTTCCTTTCCTTTTATTGAGATAAAATACATGTAGCATTATATTTGCCATTGTAACCATTTTGAAGTATTAATTCAGTGACATTAAGTACCTTCACAATGTTGTGCAGCTATCAACACTATCTACTTACTAGAACTTTTTTTTTTTTTTAAATAAGAGATGGGATCTCACTGTTCCCCAGGCTGGTCTCATAGTCCCTGGCTCAAGTCATCCTCCCACGTCAACCTCCCAAATAGCTGGGACTACAGGTGCCATCATGTTCAGCTTAATTCCAGAATTTCTTTTTTCTGTTTTCTTTTTTTTTTTGAGATAGGATCTCACTCTGTTTCTCAAGCTGGAGTACAGTGATGTGATCATGGCTCACTGCAGCCTTGACCTCCTGTACTCAAATGATCCTCTCACTTTGGCCTCTCGAAGTTCTGGGATTACGGGTGTGAGCCACCATATCTAGCCTCAGACCTTTTTTAAACCCCCAAAAGGAAACCTCATATCATTAATCAGTCACTTGCCACTTTGTCTTCCCCTAGTCCCCAGGAACCATTAATCTTTTTTCTATCTCCATGGATTTGCCAGACTCCATGGATTTGCCTAGTCTGGGTATTTCATATAAGTGGAATCAAAATATGTAAACTTTTGTGTTGGCCTTTCACCTAGCATGTTTTCAGAGTTCATGTATGTTGCAGTATTTATCAGTACCTCATTTCTTTTTGTGGCTAAATAATATGAATATATCACTTTTTTTTCATCCATTGCTCAGTTGATGGACATTTGGGTTGTTTCTGCCCTGACTGGTGAATAATGGAACCTTTGTGTGCTAGTTTTTGTTTGAACAGCTGTTTTCAGTTATTTGGGGGTATGTATCCAGGAGTGGAATTGCTGGGATCATATGGTACTTTTATATTTAACTCTTTGAGGAACCACCAAACTGTTTATTGTATTATTATTATTATTAGCAAACTTTCATAGACCATAGCTGTACCATTTTATATTCCTATCAGCAATATATAAGGGCTTCATTTCTCCACCTGCTTGCTAACGTTTGTTCTTTTCCCTCTTTTTTGATAATAGCATCCTAATGGGTATGAAACAATATCTCATTGTGGTTTTGATTTGCATTTCACTACTGACTTTGAGAGTCTTTTTTCATGTGTTTGTTGGCCATTTGTATATCTTCTTTGGAGAAATGTTCAACCAAGTCCTTTGCCCTTTGGAATTGATTTGCATGTCTTTTTGTTGTTGAGTTGTAAGAGTACTTTATATTTGCTGGATATTAATCCCTTGTCAGATATATAATTCGTAAATATTTTCTATGTGTTATGTTTTCTGTGTGTTATGTTTCACTTTCTTGAGAGTATCATTTCTTTAAAAAAAAGAGAGAGAGAGAGATAAGGTCAGCCAGGTATGGCTCCTGGCTGTAATCCCAACACTTTGGGAGGCTGACGTGGGCAGATCACTTGAGCCCAGGAGTTCGAGACCAGCCTAGGCAACATGGCAAAACCCCATCTCTACAAAGAATACAAAAATTAACTGGGTGTGGTGGTGCATGCCTATAGTGCCAGCTACTAAGCAGGCTGAGGTGGGAGGATCACCTGAGACCAGGAGGTTGAGGCAGCAATGAGCCACTGTACTTCAGTACTGCAGCCTGGGTGACACAGCAAGACCTTGTCTCAAAAAAAATTTTTTTTAACCGGGCGCGGTGGCTCACACCTGTAATCTCAGCACTTTGGGAGACCGAGGCAGGTGGATCATCTGAGGTCGGGAGTTGGAGATCAGCCTGACCAACATGGAGAAACCCCATCTCCATTAAAAGTACCAAATTAGCTGGGCATGGTGGCACATGCCTGTAATCCCAGCTACTCAGGAGGCTAAGACAGGAGAATCTGCCTGGGAGGCAGAGGTTGCAGTGAGCCGAAATTGCACCATTGCACTCCAGCCTGGGCAACAAGAGTGAAACTTCATCTCAAAAAAAAAAGACAATGTTTAATTTTATTATGTACCTATTTAAATAGGTAATATTATTCATAATAGCCAAAAAATGGAAATAACCAAAATGTCCGTTGGCTGACGGATGGATGAACAAAGTTGGCATATCCATTCAATGAAATGCTATTTGACAATGAAAAGGAATAAAGTACTGATGCATGTTACAACCTAGATGAACCTTGAAAACACTATGCCAGACACAGAATACCATACATTGCACAATTCCATGTCCCTAAGGGTAAGAATGGGGGTAGGTAACTCCACTAGATTTCTTTTGGGGGTGATGAAAATGTTTCAGAATTAGATTGTGGGGATTGTTCACTACACATTTACTAAAAATCATTGAATTGTACACATAAAATAGGTAAGTTTTATGGGGTTTGTTTTTGTTTTTAAGACAGAGTCTTTGTTTGTCACCCAGGCTGGACTGCAGTGGACTGCAGTGGCACAATCTTGGCTCACTACAACCTCCACCTCCCAGGTTCAAGCGATTCTCCTGCCTCAGCCTCCCGAGTAGCTGGGATTACAGGCGTGTGCCACCATACCTGGCTAATTTTGGTATTTTTAATAGAGATGGGGTTTCTCCATGTTGACCAGGCTGGTCTTGAACTCCTGGCCTCAAATGATCCAACTGCCTTGGCCTCCCAAAGTACTGGGATTACTGGCATGAGCCATCATGCCAGGCCTGTTTTATGGTATTTAAATTATACCTACTAAGATCAGGATCCCAACTGTGCCACTAACTGTGCCACTCACTAGCTGAAGTGTCACATGCTTTATTTGTTGGCATGTAGATACTCAGTTGTCCCAGCACCATTTGTTGAAGAGACTATTCTTTCCCCATTGGCACTTTCCCCATTGTTAGAAATCAGTTGACCATAATCTATAGGTTTATTCCTAGATTCTCAGTTTTATTCTGTTGATCTATATGTTTACGAATAGCACCAGTTACTACAGCAGCTCTCCTGTAGTAACAGCTCTCAAATCCCAGTGAATAAAAATAACAAGCATATTCTTCATTCACATTACATGTCAGGGACTATGGATTGTTTGCTACAGTTCTGTTCCACGTGGCTTCTCATCCCAGGACCCAGACAGAAGAAACAGTCTCAATATGAGGCAGTGTCCTTCTGGCTAAGGGAGAGAGAGGTTCATTCACACAAGCAGTGGCTGCTAAGCCTTCTCTTAGACCTAGTGTAGGTCATGTTCACTCATGTTTTATTGGTGAAAGCAAGGAAGGCACATGACCAAGGGTGACAATGGAGAGAGGAAGTATACTCCCCCTGTGGGGAGGCATGACAGCCACTTGGCAGTGAGCAGGGGTGTGTGTGTGTGCATGCATGTGTATAATCTGTTTATAGGGAAGGGAACAATGAAATAACTGACTATAGTGATCTTACTCAAGTGAGTTAACCTCTCTAGGACTCAGTTTCCTCATCTACAAAATGAGGAGATAGGAGTACCCATTTCATGGAGTTTATTGGGGTTGTCAGGATCAATAAGTGATGACATATACGTAGACCAGATACACGGTATGTACTATTTAAGAATTAGCCAGCTGGGCGCAGTGGCTCACACCTATAATCCCAGCAATTTGGGAGGCCGAGGCGGGCGGATCGCTTGAGGTAGGGAGTTCAAGACCAGCCTGACCAACATGGAGAAACCTGGTCTCTACTGAAAAATATAAAATTAGCTGGGTGTGGTGGCACACGCCTGTAATCCTGGCTACTCGGGAGGCTGAGGCAGGAGAATCTCTTGAACCCAGGAGGTGGAGGTTGTGGTGAGTCGATATCATGCTGTTGCACTCCAGCCTGGGCAACAAGAGCAAAACTCCGTCTCAAAAGAAAAAAGAAAAGAATTAGCCACTGCTGCTATTGTTACTGTTTTCTCAACTCCATCTGGCAGACCTTTACTCGCCCTATAAGGCCCTCCTCAAATACTATATATAGTTTTTGATATAAATTTTATATATAAATCCTCTTTATAGTTCTTACTCTTTGATATCCTGCAAACCAAGTTTCTGCCCCCATGGCATTTGGAAGCTGGCAAAAGTTGAGGGATTTCAGGGTTGGGCAGTGTGTTTGACATTTTGTTCACAAGTTCAGACAAGAATAATTATATTCACATTAAAAATATCTCCTCCCTGCAGTCCAGCTTGGGCAACAGAGCGAGACTCCGTCTCAAAAAAAAAAGTATCTTCCCTTATTCTGGGCTAGTGAATGTTCCCTTTCAATGTCTTTTAGATAGCTGCCAGAGACACTATCTGTATCTCTTCCTCCTACCTTGTACCTCATTATCAGTGTTTGAGAAAGGAGTTGATAATTGAATTCTTCTCAGTTCTAGCAAAATGTGATTGGAGATCTCACAATCAGTTCAGGTCCAAGTTTTGGGTGCAGACTATAAATGGCTTCGGGACAGTAGTATTCTATAAACCATTTAACAGTAGTTTTTAAAGCATATTTCCTATAGGAATCTTTATCCAGGGCAAAGGCATTTGCGCTGCACCAAAGTCCCAGATGCCTTGTTAGAAGGTAGCTCTCAAAAAGTAGCTCTTTAGATCCTGTCTGCCAGCTCTATCAGTGGGGAATAATCAGATTCTTTTTTTAAGCTTTGAGGGGATCTGGGATATGGCTTGTTTGTTTAATTTTTGAAAAGTTTCACTTTGTTAGATATACATAAGATTTTAAAAAATGTTTTCGGTCAAATTGAATTATTTCTTTCTTCCTTACAGTGTAAGGCAAGCATTGGTGGGCACCGATCTTCCTGTTCATTCTGCAAGAACCCAAGGGAAGGTGAGTGGCAAAAGTAGTAGCAGTTTTTATCTTGTTCATTGAGCAAAACAAATTTCATGTTTTCCTTGGCTTTGAAGAATTATCATCCCTAAATCCAAGTTGATCTACAAACCTTTCTTTTTTTTTTTTTTTTTTGATATGGAGTGTCGCTCTGTTGCCCAGGCTGGAGTGCAGTGGTGCAATCTTGGCTCACTGCAACGTCCGCCTCCTGGGTTCAAGCAATTCCCCTGCCTCAGCTTCCTGAGTAGCTGGGATTACAGGCACGTGCCACCACGCCCTGTAGCCCAGCTAAATTTTTTGTATTTTTAGTAGAGACGGGGTTTCACCGTGTTGGTCAGGCTGGCCTCGAACTCCTGACCTTGTGACCCAACCACCTTGGCCTCCCAAAGGTGCTGGGAATACAGGTGTGAGTCACGGTGCATGGCCTGCAAACCTTTTTTTTTTTTTTTTTTTTTGAGACAGAGTCTCACTGTGGCCCAGGCTGGAGTGCAGTGACACCATCTCGGCTCACTGCAAGCTTCACCTCCCAGGTTCAAGTGATTCTTGTGCCCCAGCCTCCCAAGTGGCTGGGATTCCAAGCATGTGTCACCACACCTGTGGCTAATTTTTGTAATTTTAGTAGAGACGAGGTTTCGGCATGTTGGTCAGGCTGGTCCTGAGCTCCTGACTTCAGGTGATCCACCTGCCTTGGCCTCCCAAAGTGCTGGGATTACAGGCATGAGCCACCATGCCCAGCCTTTTAAAAGTTTTGGGCCGGGCGCGGTGGCTCACACCTGTAATCCCAGCACTTTAGGAGGCCGAGGCAAACATGCCGAAACCCCGTCTCTACTAAAATTACAAAAATTGGCCACAGGTGTGGTGGCACATGCTTGGAATCCCAGCCACTTGGGAGGCTGAGGCACGAGAATCACTTGAACCCAGGAGTCAGAGGTTGCAGTGAGCTGAGATCTCGCCACTGCACTCCAGCCTAGGCAACAGAGTGAGAAAAAAAAAATTGCAGTTTGATGCCCAACTTAATGTGACCTGTTAGTAAATGATTTCAGATCTTATTTTCACTAGAGGAAAGAGATAAGGTCATGGGCTCCTAGTCTAAAGTGGCTAAGTGGGCAGCTGAGCAGAGGTCAGTATATTGTTATTTGGAATACGTATAAGGATTAAGGATGTTAGGTTGAAAAAGAGTATGACGTCAGTCTATATGGCAAACCTTTTCCCACTCTCACTTCTTTGAAGTTACTGGGAATCATTTGCTCTATTGTTTTCTCTTTTACACTCTGTAAGCATTTCAGGATTTTCAAGAGAAAAACATTTGTTAAAATAACAGTAAAAATATAAATAAGAGAAAATAATCAGGATGTGGGGAACATTTTATTATTTTGAGGAATAAAACTACCAGCTTCTCAAGCACTTATCTTTAATATAAATTTCTTTAGAGAAATTTTAGGTAGGCAACTTCGAAGAGTCAGACACATGGATCTGTAACAACAGTCCTGTAGTCATCCCTTAAGGAAAGCCACAGAATGACCATAAAATATAGTTCAGTGCAGGGATTCAGGTAGCCTTCTATTTGTTCCAAGGTTAGAATTTAATGTGCCTACAAGGAGTTTCTTCCGTGGGCTTTTGGCCTCTTGTGGAGATTTTAATCTGGTGAAGACTGAAAGGCATGTGTTCTGAAAATCTTTAGGGGAATGCTCTGTATGTTCTAGAGACCAAACCAAAATGTGGGAAGGGGGATGAACAACTGAGATTTTTGCTTGTTGGGTCACTTCAGGATAGGCAAAGTTGTGTTTTTTACCCCCCACAAGAAAGATTTTTTTTCATAGCTATTCTAACAAATGAATAGTTTATGAAAACCTTTGGGCACCATACCACTAAGATGAGACAGCTTTATCTGGAAACCTGTCATGCTATTATGTAATCTCTATATTGCTCTCATATAATACCTCATTTTGAGCCACATGGCTTCCAGTGAACCATCCAAGAATGAATGAATTACAAAAATGTGCCCCTAATTATAAAACAAACTATAAAGACAAATTATCCTGCTGTAGTAGGACATTTGAAATAAGTCATTTATATTTTGAAGGACATCTGCCCATTATGCTTATTTGCATGTAAATGAGCTAAGTGCAAATAAGGTCTGTTCCTAGCTTCACTGGAGAAGGGCCTGTGGTCTTACAGGATTTGAGTCGTTGTTTGAGCACTGTAACACTGGAAGAAGCAAGGCTTCTAGAAGTGTGTTTGGGATATGTGTTTCTACTAAACCTTAAGTAAGGGCCATATCTTTGGTAATTTTGTCCCCAGATCTGTTGTTATCATTGATTATAATAGTCAGGTTCAAGGTGTCATGAAGGATTTGTTATATTTAAATGTTGGGTAAGTGATACAGAGATTTCGTAAGATTACATTTTTTAAATGCTTGGATAGTTTCTTCTGTGAACTATTTCATGTCCTATCTTAGCTTCACTTAAAATATTTTGTCAGGTGGCCGGGCGCGGTGGCTCAAGCCTGTAATCCCAGCACTTTGGGAGGCCGAGGCGGGCGGATCACAAGGTCAGAAGATCGAGACCATCCTGGCTAACACGGTGAAACCCCGTCTCTATTAAGAAATACAAAAAACTGCCGGGCGCGGTGGCTCAAGCCTGTAATCCCAGCACTTTGGGAGGCCGAGGCGGGTGGATCACGAGGTCAGGAGATCGAGACTATCCTGGCTAACATGGTGAAACCCCGTCTCTACTAAAAATACAAAAAACTAGCTGGGTGTGGTGGCGGGCGCCTGTAGTCCCAGCTACTTGGGAGGCTGAGGCGGGAGAATGGCGTGAACCCGGGAGGCGGAGCTTGCAGTGAGCTGAGATCCGGCCACTGCACTCCAGCCTGGGTGACAGAGCGAGACTCCGTCTCAAAAAAAAAAAAAAAAAAAAAAAAAAAAAAAAAAATTTTGTCAGGAACTGTCAGAGGACTTTTTATTAGATATTTCTGAGACAATATTAACAGCATTCCAGGCCAGGCATGTTGGCTCACACCTATAATCCCAGCACTCTGGGAGGCCGAGGCAAGTGGATCACCTGAAGTCAGGAGTTCGAGACCAGCCTGGCCAACATGGTGAAACTTCGTCTCTACTAAAAATACAAAAAAGTACCCAGGCATGGTGGTGGGCACCTATAATCCCAGCTACTCGGGAGGCTGAGGCAGGAGAATCGCTTGAACCCGGGAAGCAGAGGTTGCAGTGACCAAGATCATGCCATTGCACTTCAGCCTGGGCAACAAGAGCAAAACTCCATATCAAAAAAAAAGGCATTCCAGTATGAGTATTTGCTGGCAGATAAAGAGAAATTACAGTAGTGGTGTTTTTCTTTTTTTTCTTTTTTTTTTGGATAAAGCCTTCTACAGATTCTTTTTTTCTGTTCCGCTAGTGACAGAGGCCAAGCAAGAATTAATAACCTACCCTCAGCCTCAGAAAACATCCATACCAGCACCATTGGAAAAACAGCCCAACCAGCCCCTAAGAGCAGCTGATAAGGAACCTGAACCCAGGAAGAGGGAAGAAGGACAAGAGTCACGCTTAGGACATCAAAAGAGAGAAGCAGAAAGGTATCTGCCTCCTTCTCGAAGGGAAGGGCCAACTTTCCGAAGAGACCGAGAGAAGGAGTCATGGTCTGGAGAGACACGCCAGGACGGAGAGAGCAAAAGTAAGTGGTTTGTCAGGGCACATACCAGGCTGTGATCATCACAATGGAGAATAGATGGCCAGTGTTATGTCCAGGAGCTATCTGCTTTCCAGTACCTAAGAGATCTGTGCATGGCCTGATGACAGAGGCCATTGCTTTCTGTGGACCTTACTATACTCCTTAAAGGAATCTATGCCCTTCAAATAGTAAATTGCTATATGAATGCACTAAGGCATGATTTTAGATTTCTAATTATTGGTGAAGAAAAGTATACAGTATTTACTTGTTTAGCATTTCTTTACAGAACCAGCCTTGCTAGTAGCATCTATAGTAAAAAATGACAGACTCTTGGGACTTCAAAAATTTATCTTTCTCTTCCTTTTATTGCCCTTCTCCCATTTATGGTTGGTTCAGCCATCATGCTAAAGCGTATCTATCGTTCCACACCACCTGAGGTGATAGTGGAAGTGCTGGAGCCCTATGTCCGCCTTACTACTGCCAACGTCCGTATCATCAAGAACAGAACAGGCCCTATGGGACATACCTATGGCTTTATTGACCTCGACTCCCATGCGGTGAGTTTCCTCCACGTTGGATTGGCCTAGGGACAGATGGCTAAAGAACCTTCAAGAAGGTTTGAGGGACTTCTTGATCATTTGAAGATTCTTGTGTGCTACCTGATATCATAATCCCTCTTGCTCTCTCCTTTGGGTTTATTGTTCATTCAGGTGAGGTGACTGCCCTCAAAAGTTACGATCCCATGTGATTTTCCGGGTTCATTTTTTTCTTGTGTCATTTACTGTTTCCAACTTACTCACTTGTGAAGAATCTGAGTACTGAATCCTTCATGATTTTAGTGAACTTTCTGATTTATTTTATCCAGCCAAAGATGATTTTATATTTGATGATAAAACATTTCCTCTTTTTCCTCAAAGTATTTATAGATTCCTGTGGCTTAAATTTTTAGTTGCAGGGCCTTTTTCTATGGAAGTAAGGTGAAGATAATGAAAGTCATTGGTATTTCTTAGATTTTTCATGCCCAAAAGTCACAAGGGACTTTGTAAAGTGAAATCTGATTGATGATAGTTGCACCCTAAAAGAAGAGGATTTGAATTTCTGAAGTTTACATTCCTGTTTCAATCAGTCCTTCATTAAAAGTTGCCTGTTTCTGCCAGTATGTTCTTATTGGTAAAATTTTGACAAATACAATGTAGTAAATTTATCCTCTGAGAAGGAAAATCCATGTTCACTTCTCTTTCAAAGGAGAATTTTTCTGTCTTTGAGTTCTGGCTTTTTCTGTCTCTGGGTTCAAGTGTGTCTGGTTCTATAGGAAGCTCTTCGTGTGGTGAAGATCTTACAGAATCTTGATCCACCGTTTAGCATTGATGGGAAGATGGTAGCTGTAAACCTGGCCACTGGAAAACGAAGGTAAGGCAGAAGGGTAAGGATCTCTTGTGCTGCCCCCACTTGTGTTTTTGGGAGGAAACTCCTTTTCCTGGCTGGAAAGACAGTAAAGCATGATGTCCTCCTCACATGGACTGCTTCAGATAGGTGTTTATTACAGTTTCTTTCTGAAGCCTGACTTGTCCTGACTTTCAAATTGTTTTCTTTCTTGAATAATATTAGGTACTTTTGTCCTTTCCCTTTTGACTGTCTGATATCTTTGGGTCCCAAATGGCCTAGCATGGTAGCACATACCTGTATTCCCAGCTACTAAGGAGGCTGAGACGAGGATGGGGGGCGGGTTATGTGAGCCCAGGAGTTCTAGGCCATAGTGTGCAATGATGATGCCTGTGAATAACCACTGTACTCCACCCTGGGCAGCACAGCAAGACCCCACCTCTTAACAAAAAAATGATGGTATAGTTTTGGATGTGCAGACAGATCTCAATACATTCTTACCTCTTGCAATCCTAGGAAAATGCTGTCCTGACTTTTCCTTCCCCGACCTTGTGCATATTTCCATAGGACTGGGAAATCTAATTTCTCTTTACTCCTTCACTCATCTTGACTCAGGAGTGGTAACTTGGAAATGGCCATGTCAGAGAAACAGGCTTACAAATATGGGGCGTATCTTGCTCTAGCATCTTCCACTTAATGACTGTTTTGCTCCACCACTTGGCTTTGTAAGAGTCTTACTGCTCATTGGCCAGGCGCGGTGGATCACGAGGTCAGGAGATTGAGATCATCCTGGCTAACATGGTGAAACCCTGTCTCTACTAAAAATACAAAAACAAAAAAATTAGCTGGACGCGGTGGTGGGCGCCTGTAGTCCCAGCTACTCTGGAGGCTGAGGCAGGAGAATGACGTGAACCTGGGAGGCGGAGCTTGCAGTGAGCCAAGATCGTGCCACTGCACTCCAGCCTGGGCGACAGAGCAAGATTCCGTCTCAAAAAAAAAAAAGTCTTACTACTCATTCTTTCAGGAGTGTCTGGACCACCCAACCTGCTTGTTGTCTAGGTTGGTTCCTTTCCCTGCAAAACGGGGAACAGAGAATTTCTCAATAGGAACTGTGGGATTAAGTACTCGTCAAGTGCCATTTGGTAGCAGACTTAAGAATTGTTGTGTTATCTGTTGCAGAAATGATACTGGGGACCATTCTGACCACATGCATTACTATCAGGTAGGCTGTAAAAGGTGGGGAGTGCTCTATTAAAATCCTCAGGTGACTGTAAGGGTGACCTTGAATTTTCTTTAGTGGATGACTGTTAAGGTGAATGACCATTGGATAGTTCTGTAATTTTAACTTGCCTTTCTGTGATAGGGTAAAAAATATTTCCGAGATAGGAGGGGAGGTGGCAGAAATTCAGACTGGTCTTCAGATACAAATCGACAAGGACAACAGTGTAAGTAACCCTTGTTTTATTTCTGTTGCTCTTTTTTGCTTGACTTGCTACTCAGTACTTGACATCTGTGTGATCACAGTTGGCAAGATACACTGTTGACTGAGGGTGCTCATCCAGAGGGAGGCATCTGTAGATGCACCTATTTGTGTTGGTCACCCTAATTCTTGGGTTGTTCTTGATGAGTCTCCAGTAAGGGCTTCATTGGACAGAGACTAACATTGGCTCTGATCTTGTTACCTTTAGCATCGTCTGACTGCTACATATATGATTCTGCTACTGGCTACTATTATGACCCCTTGGCAGGAACTTATTATGACCCCAATACCCAGGTGAGTTTGGGACTTCTTTTTTTTTTTACCCTGTCAATGATGCTTTTGAGAAAAGCTCCCATAATTTGCTACTTGAGGATTTTATTCCCTGGATTCTGTGGATGCTCATTGCATGAAAAGTGTAAAGTTTAGATCTATGGAAACAGAACTGTTGCCTATATGGAAAATCAGTGCCTTTTGGCAATACAGGTAAGAACAGTATTGCTCTTGAAAAAGTGTACAGTGGATGGTCTGAATGTGTCCTGGCCCCGGAGTGGGTTTTTAGATTGATGTGGACTCTTCTTAGGCTTGTAAGTAAAAGAGTTGTTTCTTCCCCTAGAAGGGAACTGTGTGCCTTAGACCTGGAATTGCTGGGAAACTGAAACATTCTGTAGACTTCCTTGTTTCTAACTGTATCGCAGCAAGAAGTCTATGTGCCCCAGGATCCTGGATTACTTGAGGAAGAAGAGATCAAGGAAAAAAAACCCACCAGTCAAGGAAAGTCAAGTAGCAAGAAGGAAATGTCTAAAAGAGATGGCAAAGAGAAAAAAGACAGAGGAGTGACGAGGGTAAGAGGAATTGTTAATCTACTGTCTTTTGCCACATAGTTATTAAAATGTTGGAGATATGAACAGAGGATATCTATGTTTGCAAGTGTAAAGGAACTTCAAAAATACTCTGTCAGCCGGGCGGGCGTGGTGGCTCACACCTGTTTTCCCAGCACTTTGGGAGGCCGAGGCAGGCGCATCACGAGGTCAGGAGATCGAAAACATCCAGGTCAACATGGTGAGACCCTGTCTCTACTAAAAATACAAAAATTAGCTGGGTGTGGTGGTACACACCTGTAGTCCCCCCTACTCGGGAGGCTGAGGCAGGAGAATTGCTTGAACCCTGGAGGCGGAGGTTGCAGTGAGCCAAGATCGCACCACTACACTCCAGCCTGGCAACAGAGCAAGACTCCGTCTCAAAAAAAACAAAAACAAAACTCTGTTAATGAGTATTTTTCCTGGTGTAGGCAGGTAAAAATTACCTGGTGTAGGCAGTTCCCTCACCTCTTATATCCCAACTCTGTCTCTTTTACAAATGGGAAAACTGTGGATGGTAAAACAAAGTGTCCCAGCTGAAATCCCACCACCTCAGCTCCACACATTTTCACTTTTCTATATTCCTTTTTTAGTGTTTGACTTTATACACATTTCTATAGTTGTAATTATAGCAGGAGATACTGTTTAATCACTTTTTATCATAAGTATACTCTATTATTTTTAATGCCTACATGGTAAAAATTAATGGTATAACTATACCTTCATTTTCTTCATCTCTCCTACATTATTTGTCTTCTCTTTCTAATCTTTTCTTTTTCCTTCTTTTTTCTTTCTTTCTTTCTTTTTTTTTTTTTTTTCTGAGACAAGATCTTCCTCTGTCTCCCAGGTTGGAGTGCAGTGGCATGATCATAGCTCACTGCAACATCAAACCCCTGGGCTTTAGCGATCCTCCCACCTCACCCTCCCAAGTAACAGGGACTATAGGCATGAGCCACCATAACCAGCTAATTTTTGCTTTTTTGTAGAGACAGAATCTTGCTAGATTGACCAGGCTGGTCTTGAGCTTCTGAAGTAAGCTTCCTGCCTCAGTCTCCCAAAGTACTTCAGTTACAGTCAAGACTCACCTTGTTTGCCTCTTTCTAATCTTATACTGTCAAAATATATAACATTTAGCATTTTGTTTCTTCTTTTTTTTTTTTTTTTTTGAGACAGAGTCTCGCTCTGTCGCGCAGGCTGGAGTGCAGTGGCCAGATCTCAGCTCGCTACAAGCTCCGCCTCCCGGGTTTATGCCATTCTCCTGCCTCAGCCTCCCGAGTAGCTGGGACTACAGGCGCCTGCCACCTCACCCGGCTGGTTTTTTGTACTTTTTTAGTAGAGACAGGGTTTCACCGTGTTCGCCAGGATGGTCTCGATCTCCTGACCTCGTGATCCACCCGTCTCGGCCTCCCAAAGTGCTGGGATTACAGGCTTGAGCCACCGCGCCCGGCCTGTTTCTTCTTTTAAATTACTCCCTAAGGCATATTTTCAGAATCAGAGATGATGAACATTTTTACATCTATTACAAAATCAAATTATTAGGCAGGGCACAGTGGCTCACACCTGCAATCCGAGCACTTTGAGAGGCCAAGGCAGGCAGATTACTTTAGGTCAGCAGTTCGAGACCAGTCTGGCCAATTTGGTGAAACACTCATCTCTACTAAAAAGACAAAAATTAGCTGGATGTGGTGGCACAAGCCTGTAGTCCCAGCTACTCAGGAGGCTGAGGCAGGAGAATCTCTTGAACCTGAGAGGCAGAGGTTGCAGTGAGCTGAGATCACACCTACCTTGATATCAGTTATGCATTAGTGAAAATGGATGAATTTGCTTGTGGTTCAATTCATAGCATCTTCCCTCCGCCCCCCTTTTTTTTTTTTTTTTTTTTTTTTTTGAGACAGAGTCGCTCTGTCACCCAGGCTGGAGGCTGGAGTGCAGTGGCGCAATCTCGGCTCACTGCAACCTCCTCCTCCCGGGCTCAAGGGATTCTCCTGCCTCAGCCTCCTGAGTAGCTGGGATATCAGGCACCGCCACCATGCCCAGCTAATTTTTGTATTTTTAGTAGAGATGGGGTTTCACCATGTTGGTCAGGCTGGTCTCGGACTCCTGACCTCGTGATCGGCCCACCTCAGCCTACCAAAGAGCTGGGATTACAGGCATGAGCCACCGTGCCCGGCCTTTTTTTTCCCTTCTAACACTGTTAGTTGTTCAGAGATACAGAAAAGAGGAGAGAGTGTGTGTGTGTGTGTGTGTGTGTGTGTGTGTGTGTGTATTTTTTGAGACGGAGTCTCACTCTGTCACCCAGGCCGGAGTGCAGTGGCTGGATCTCGGCTCACTGCAAGCTCCACCTCCCGGGTTTACGCCATTCTCCTGCCTCAGGCTCCCAAGTAGCTGGGACCACAGGCGCCTGCCACCACGCCCGGCTAGTTTTTTGTATTGTTTTTAGTAGAGATGGGGTTTCACCGTGTTAGCCAGGATGGTCTCGATCTCCTGACCTCGTGATCCGCCTGTCTCGGCCTCCCAAAGTGCTGGGATTACAGGCTTGAGCCACCGCGTCCGGCCGTGTGTGTTTAAGAACTTACAGTCAGGCCAGGCGCGGTGGCTCACTCCTGTAATCCCAGCACTTTGGGAGGCCGAGGCGGGCGGATCACGAGGTCAGGAGATCGAGACCATCCTGTGAATGGTGAAACCCCATCTCTACTAAAAATACAAAAAATTAGCCGTGCGTGGTGGCGGGCTACTCGGGAGGCTGAGGCGGGAGAATGGCATGAACCCTGGAGGCGGAGCTTGCAGTGAGCCGAGATCACGCCACTGCACTCCAGCCTGGGCGACAAACCGAGACTCTGTCTCAAAAAAAAAAAAAAAGAACTTAGAGTCATACTGGTTTAATATTTGGACTCTGCTTCAGCCTCTTTCAAACTGTATTCTTAATCATTTGTAAAATTAAGATATTAAAGCTTACATAGGAGGATCATAGTAAAGTCTGAAGAAGACAGTGTTTATATATACATGCCTCATCTGATCTGAAATACAGTAATCGTGTAATACATACTGTTTTGTTTTATTTTATTTTATTTTATTTTATTTCATTTCATTTCATTTTAATTTTTTGAGCCAGAGTGTCTCTCTGTCGCCCAGGCTGGAAAGAAGTGGCATGATTTCGGCTCACTGCAACCTCCGTCTCCCAGGTTCCAGCAGTTCTCCTGCCTCAGCCTCCCAAGTAGCTGGGATTACAGGCCAACACCACCACACCCAGCTAATTTGTATTTTTACTAGAAACAGGGTTTCACCATGTTGGCCAGGCTCCCCTTGAACTCCTGACCTCAAGTGATCCGCCCACCTTAGCCTCCCAAAGTGCTGGGATTACAGACATGAGCCACTGTGCCTACTGATGTCTTTATTTCAAATTCACTATAGCAATGTTACCGATATTTCCGTCATGTTGAATTAGGAGGTTTGGAAAGTCAGCCTGATTTCAACAGGGTTAACTCTTAATCAGTTTTGTTTTTGTTTTTTGAGACAAAGTCTCGCTCTGTTGCCCAGGCTGGAGTGCAGTGGTGGCATCTTGGCTCACTGCAACCTCTGCCTCCTGGGTTCAAGCGATTTTCCTGCCTCAACCTCCTGAGTAGCTGGGATGACAGGCACCTACCACCATGCCTGGCTAATTTTTGTATTTTTAGTAGAGACAGGGTTTCACCATTGTTGGCCAGTCCGGTCTCGAACTCCTGACTTCAGGTAATCCACCCACCCTGGCCTCCCAAAGTGCTGGGATTACAGGTGTGAGCTACTGCACCCAGTCTTAATCAGGTTTTTTTTTTTTTTTTCCTGAGACGGAGTTTTGCTCTTGTTACCCAGGCTGGAGTACAATGCCACTATATTGGCTCACTGTAACCTCCACCTCCCGGGTTCAAACGATTCTCCTGCCTCGGCCTCCTGAATAGCTGGGATTATAGGTGTGTGCCACCACACCCAGGTAATTTTTGTATTTTTAGTAGAGACGGGGTTTCACTATGTTGGCCAGGCTGATCTCGAACTCCTGACCTCAGTGATCCACCCGCCTCGGCCTCCCAAAGTGCTGGGATTACAGGTGTGAGCCACTGCACCCGGCCTTTATCAGTTTTTTTGTTTTTTTTTTTTTTTGAGAGGGAGTCTCGCTCTGTCGCCTAGGCTGGAGTGCAGTGGCACGATCTCGGCTCACTGCAAGCTCCGCCTCCCAGGTTCATTCTCCTGCCTCAGCCTCCCGAGTAGCTGGGACTACAGGCATCAGCCACCATGCCCGGCTAATTTTTTGTATTTTTAGTAGAGACGGGGTTTCACCATGTTAGCCAGGATGGTCTTGATCTCCTGACCTTGTGATCCACCTGCCTTGGCCTCCCAGAGTGCTGGGATTATAGGCTTGAGCCACTGTGCCCATCCCAGCCTTTATCAGTTATTATGAGTGAATATCATGTGAGAGTTACCTCTGGTTTGGTCAGTTTCAGGAAAATGCCAGTGAAGGGAAGGCCCCCGCAGAAGACGTCTTTAAGAAGCCCCTGCCTCCTACTGTGAAGAAGGAAGAGAGTCCCCCTCCAGTAAGACCAACATTGATCCCCTGGACCTAGGGCTGGGGCTGGGGCTGGGGCTGGTTCTGAGTGGGAAAGGAAGTGCAAAGGCTGATGCCTTCCTTTGGTGTTGGTCTTTTACCTCCCTATGTCTCCTGAATAAGGATTCCCATTTCTTTTGAGTACAAGCATGATATAAAGTTTTCTGTCTGCTAATAGGGGTATTACTGGAGAACCAGAGGCAGTTATCTGCCCTGTTTCTCTCTATCCTGTGCCGTTCTTACCAGACGAGATGCCTAGCCCTTTTTATCATCTTGTTCTTGTCAGTTCTCTAAATCACCAAGGAAACCCGTTTTTTCAGCCTCAGTCTTTCCTGCCTTTTGGCGTCACTTAGATATGCAGTGCATGCGTGGTCATTTTTTTTTTTTTTTTTGAGACGGAGTCTCGCTGTGTCTCCCAGGCTGGAGTGCAGTGGCGTGATCTCGGCTCACTGCAAGCTCCGCCTCCCGGGTTCACGCCATTCTCACGCCTCAGCCTCCCAAGTAGCTGAGACTACAGGCGCCCGCCACCACGCCCGGCTAGTTTTTTTGTATTTTTAGTAGAGACGGGGTTTCACCATGTTAGCCAGGATAGTCTCGATCTCCTGACCTCGTGATCCACCCGCCTCGGCCTCCCAAAGTGCTGGGATTACAGGCTTGAGCCACCGCGCCCGGCAACGTGGTCATTTTTTATAGTTTCTGCGTGGACAGAGTGAATGATGCTAATATTGGTGCCCTTTTTTTTTTTTTTTTTTTTTTGAGACGGAGTCTCGCTCTGTCGCCCGGGCTGGAGTGCAGTGGCCGGATCTCAGCTCACTGCAAGCTCCGCCTCCCGAGTTTATGCCATTCTCCTGCCTCAGCCTCCTGAGTAGCTGGGACTACAGGTGCCCACCACCACGCTGGGCTAGTTTTTTATATTTTTTTAGTAGAGACTGGGTTTCACCGTGTTAGCCAGGATGGTCTCGATCTCCTGACCTCATGATCTGCCCGTCTCGGCCTCCCATAGTGCTGGGATTACAGGCTTGAGCCACCACGCCCGGCCTTGGTGCCCATTTTTTAGATGCCTTCAAGCAGTAGTCTCAATCTAATCACCAGTGATTCTGATTGAATGCAGGTATATAACAATAGTGACCATGCATTATTTATTTATTTTGATTGATCATAGACCAATGACTATGCATCATTATTTAACAGTTTTTATAAGGTACTGTTTTCCTGCTCCACATTATTAATTCAGCTCATTGTAGCATCTATCTTAACCATGCTTTGCCTTTACCATAGGAGCTGGATCTGTCTACCCAAGTGCCTATCAATGCAGTTGCTTTTAATTTACTTCCTAAATCCTCTTTGCTAGAGTCTTGATGAACATCATCTTTTCTTCCCTCCATGAGTTACAGTAATTTGGAGGTATTTATCTCTTTCTCTTTGTAATTTGTAAACTTTTACTATTTTCTATGCTTATTCTCCTTTCTCTTCTTTCTCCCCACATTCTGTTGCTAGAGTCACTTCTAAAGGAATTTCTCTTGTTTATTCTCAGTGAGCAAGGAGCAAAGCCAAGCTCTGGCCATGTTGCTTCCATCTGGGAAATGAGCAGCATGGCTAGTGAGTTTATTTTGAACCCAATTCATTATTCCAACTGAGAGAGAACAAAGAAATGAGATGCCCGTATCAGTATCCAAAAAAAAAAGGACCCTGAAATATAGGTTGCATTTGGTATTGATCACTGGCCTTCTCCTTCCAGCCTAAAGTGGTAAACCCACTGATTGGCCTCTTGGGTGAATATGGAGGAGACAGTGACTATGAGGAGGAAGAAGAGGAAGAACAGACCCCTCCCCCACAGCCCCGCATAGCACAGCCCCAGAAGCGAGAGGAGCTCACCAAGAAGGAGAATGAAGAAGACAAACTCACTGACTGGAATAAACTGGCTTGTCTGCTCTGCAGAAGGCAGTTTCCCAATAAAGAAGTTCTGATCAAACACCAGCAGCTGTCAGACCTGCACAAGGTATTAGGAGAAGGAGCTATGCTCTTTCAAACTGTTGACTCTTGGCCAGGCTTGGTGGCTCATGCCTGTAATCATAGCACTTTGGGAGACCGAGGCGGGTGTATTGCCTGAGCTCAGGAGTACAAGACCAGTCTGGGCAACATGGTGAAACCCCCTTTGTACTAAAATACAAAAAATTAGCCAGGCATGGTAGTGTATGCCTATAGTCCCAGCCACTCGGGAGGCTGAGACAGGAGAATTACTAGAACCCGGGAGGCAGAGGTTGCAGTGAGCCGAAATTGTGCCACTGCCCTCCCAGCCTGGGTGACAGAACGAGACTCTGTCTCTTAAAAAACAAAAAAAAAAACTGTTGACTCTTATTATTGATGGGGATTATAGGGAATAAAGAAGATTATATAGGCCGGGCGTCATGGCTTACACCTGTAATTCCAGCACTTTGGGAGGCCGAGGCAGATAGATCACTTGAGATCAGGAGTTTGAGACCAGCCTGGCCAACATGGTGAAACTGTCTCTACTAAAAATACAAAAATTACCTGGATGTGGTGGCGCATGCCTGTAATCCCAAGTACTTGGGAGGCTGAGGCAGGAGAATCACTTGAACCTGGGAGGCAAAGTTTGCAGTGAACCGAGATCATGCCACTGTACTCCACCCTGGGTGACAGACCAAGACTCTATCTCAAAAAAGAAAAAAAAGAAGCAGCAGCAGTACAATCCTTCCTCAGCGTATATCAGCCCCAGTTCCTATCATTAAAACAGTCTAATTCAAGAATGAATTGCTCTGGATTAAGGTTATGCCTACTCTCAAAGAACTTCCATGTGTAGGCCCAAGCCAAGCATTATGTCTGTGGCTAGGGTGCCAAATATGGAGGATGAGTAGGAAGAGAAAGGGTTGTGGATTAAGACATTACTTGCTGGGTTTCTCATCTTAGCTCTGTCATTAACGTTGGACCTCAGATAAGCCCCTTTTCTTCTTTGGTCCTTGTAACTTCATCTGGTTCTGTCCAGCTCTGACAGTATGCAGTTTTCACCATAGGTGAGTCAAATTCTGCCATTTCTTCATGTAGTGAATGTTGTTATGAGCCACAGCACAACATCTATACTTGGGATGTTAAACTGACATACATTGGTATTCCCCTGCAGTATTCCCTTTTATATGAACTGACCAAGGATCCAAATTATGGACAAATAAAGTCCCTAAATGGACTCACATTCTCAGAGCAATTTGTTTCACACCCCTTCTCTAGTAGACGTTGCAAGAGCAAATGATGGGACTAGATTTAGACTTTCTCCTGAACACAGAGCTCAAAGTTTTACTTAGCTAAAAACTGAGAAGCTCTACTTTTGGTAATAGGTACATTACTTTTCCCATCCATCTCTGTGGAGGCTTTGCAAAGATAGGACCCTGAAAAGCTCCTCGTTGATAATCCCTGGAACAGACTACCTCCCAAGTCCCTTTGACCCGAAATTGTGAATTGTCAGAGTGACATATTGAAATTTCACCCATCTGGTGTAAATACTAATAAATGACTAAAGAGATAAAAAGTAATCGTCAGGGGCCGGGCGCGGTGGCTCAAGCCTGTAATCCCAGCACTTTGGGAGGCCGAGACGGGCGGATCACGAGGTCAGGAGATCGAGACCATCCTGGCGAACACCGTGAAACCCCGTCTCTACTAAAAAATACAAAAAACTAGCCGGGCGAGGTGGCGGGCGCCTGTAGTCCCAGCTACTCGGGAGGCTGAGGCAGGAGAATGGCGTAAACCTGGGAGGCGGAGCTTGCAGTGAGCTGAGATCCGGCCACTGCACTCCAGCCCGGGATACAGAGCGAGACTCCGTCTCAAAAAAAAAAAAAGTAATCGTCAGGAAAGAGGAGCCACAGGTCTGGTGAATTCACAAACTGAACTGGTCATAGGACAGTGGAAAGTAGACTGTAGTACTTTTCCTTTCCTTAGGGTCGTCTGCTACAAAGAACCACCACTTCATGTAAGAGCTGCTTTGGACTCCTTAAGTTTCATACATACGACTGAGGGCTTGTGTAGTAGAGCCATGCATGAGAGATTTGCAACTCTCAGAGCAGTCTCTTGGAGCCCTGGGGCTCCTTTTCATGTTTTTCTGGGGGCTTAAAGAATGGCTCATGTCTGGGAATGGTATGTATGGCAGAGTATGTGGGCATTTAGTTTTCTGCACTGGTGTGCCCACATCCTCTCTCCCATGATTTTCAACTTAGATAAAGAGATAAAGAGATACTTGTTTCCCACGTCTTGGAGATAAGTAAAGTAATATTCCCTCTTATGCCATACCACATAACTAATCTGCATGACAAGACCAGTTAGGGATTGTTACTTGCAGGGTACAGTGATCATTTAGTAAATCTGGTCAGTCAAAAGAGCTACAATCCAAAAGCAACTATTGGGAAAGACCTAGAAGCATTTCTAGGAGCATTGTTTCTTAGACCTATACTCATAGAATTGCCTCTCTTCTCAGCAAAACCTGGAAATCCACCGGAAGATAAAACAGTCTGAGCAGGAGCTAGCCTATCTGGAAAGGAGAGAACGAGAGGTAAACTTTGGTGACCTATTACTCCCTTGAGCCTCAGCTCTCTTTGCTTTCTGGTATAGACTTCATAGGCTGTGCTGATCCCTCCTTATAAGAAGATAGAAAACAAAAGCAACTTCAAAAGATAGTGTATACATTTGCCAAATTATATAGTACAATCAAAATAGGTGCTTTTTATTATTTGTAAGTGTATACTTCAATAAAGTTGATATCTTTTTAAAAGGTGGTGTTAGGGTCTCCAGATAGATAGCACTCCTCTTTCCTGCTCAGCTTTTAAATTAATTGGGTTAATGAACAAGTGTTGAATAGGGCTGCTGAAATAGCATCTTTTACTATTAAAGGCTAAGCTGGAGGAAGTAGCTTAGTGTCAGAGTCAAATGGACTTGCTACCTCAACCACACAGTTAGGGTGACTTACCCAGTCATAGGCTTCACTGGCTTCTCTCATGATGGTTAAGAACCCACCCACCTGTGGGTCAGGCACAGTGGCTCATGCCTGTAATCCCAGTACTTTGGGAGGCTGAGATGGGTGGATCACTTGAGCTCACAAGTTTGAAACCAGCCTGGGCAACAAAGCAAAATCCTATCTCTACAAAAAATATAAAAATTAGGTGAATGTAGGCCGGGCGCGGTGGCTCACGCCTTTAATCCCAGCACTTTGGGAGGCCGAGATGGGCGGATCACGAGGTCAGGAGATCGAGATCATCCTGGCTAAGACAGTGAAAACCCGTCTCTACTAAAAATACAAAAAAATTAGCCGGGCGTGGTGGTGGGCGCCTGTAGTCCCAGCTACTCGGGAGGCTGAGGCAGGAGAATGGCGTGAACCCAGGAGGCGGAGCTTGCAGTGAGCCAAGATCGTGCCACTGCACTCCAGCCAGGGCAACAGAGCGAGACTCCATCTCAAAAAAAAAAAAGAAAAAATTAGGCAGATGTAGTGGTGTGTGCCTGTAGTCCCAGCTACTCAGGAGCCTGAGGGAGGATGGCATGAGCTGGGAGGCAGAGGTTGCAGTGAGCTGAGATTGTGCCACTGCACTCCAACCTGGGTCATAGAGCCAGACCTTGTCTCAAAAAAAAACAAACAAAAAGGAATCCACCTGTGGAGAGCCAGGCACAGTGGCACATACATGTAACCCCAGCAGTTTAGGAGGCTGAGGTGGGAGAATTGCTTGAGCCCAAGAGTTCCATGTTGCAGTGAGCTATTATCACACCCCTGTACTCCAGCCTGGGTCACAGAATAAGTCTCCATCTCAAGAACAAACAAAAGAATCCACCTATGGAGGACTGTTAGAGATAGTGAATTCACAAACTGAACTGGCCATAGGACAGTGGAAAGCATATTGTAGTACTTTTCCTTTCCTTAAGGTAGTCTACTGCAAAGAACCACCTCTCCATGTAAGAGCTGCTTTGGACTCCTTAAGTTTTATATATATGCCCGAGGGCTTGTGTAGTGGAGGGCTTATGTACTTCCCCTGCTTCTCAGAAGGGGAAAAGAGCTGAACCAAGCATGCCAACTTATTCTATCCAAATTTGTAAGTCAGGAAGTCACTGCTTTGTCTAGAAGAATGTGTAAAGGAGTGAGAGATTCCAGGAGTTACCAAGTGAGCTACCTTCACTTTAAAAGAAATAACAGGGCTGGGCGCGATGGCTCACACCTGTAATCCCAGCACTTTGGGAGGCCGAGGCGGGTGGATCATAAGGTCAGGAGTTTGAGACCAGCCTGGCTAACACAGTGAAACGCCGTCTCTACTAAAAACACAAAAATTAGCCGGGCATTGTGGCATGCACCTGTAGTCCCAGCTACTTGGGAGGCTGAGGCAGGAGAATCATTTGAACCTGGGAGGCAGAGGTTGCAGTGAGCTGAGATCACGCCAGTGCACTCCAGCCTGGGCAAGAGTGAGACTCCGTCTCAAGAAAAAAAAAAAAGAAATAACATTAATGGGGTAAAATTTCCCCACTCCCCAATTCCCTCAGGTGGAAATCTCAGGTCTGTTCTGCTTACCAACAGGGAAAGTTTAAAGAAAGAGGAAATGATCGCAGGGAAAAGCTCCAGTCTTTTGACTCTCCAGAAAGGAAACGGATTAAATACTCCAGGGAATCTGACAGGTAAGCCAGGAACTCTTCATTCAGCCTAGGCCTCAAGGCCTAATGATAAAACCACCTCTTCCTTCAACTGTACTGCTGTTTTCTGTCTCAGGGAGATGATGTTATCAGTAGATTCTGTCTGAACTGCTAGAACATGAGGTCCACTCTATCCTTTTGACTATCTGTCTTTATACGGGGAATGTGCATGGAAGGTTGGCTGGCAGCTTTGCCTTCCCAAAGTCAGGGCTGGAGTAGCCATGATCGGGAACCCTTTCCATCTTCATCAGTAATACTGTACCCTCTTTACGGGCCTGATAAGAATGTCACACTCTTGGGCTTTTTCTCTACGGAACCTCCATTCTCACACATAGGTGCTAAATAAATGGTAGGCTGCTGATGGAGATATATGATATCTAGCTTCCTATACTTGTTTTTAGTCCGCTAGTTCCCAAGTTGTAAGCCCAGAGTTATACAGAATTTGTTGATAACCCACTGTTTACAGGTACTAAGTGCAAGAAATACTCAGGTGAGCAAGACATAGATTATCCTTGACTGAACACAGAATAGACGAGACTTAGGTGATGGTGCATCTCATAGGGCAGACACAGAAATCAGTGGGGAAGGGAAGGGCATTTCAGGAAATTTCATCCACCAGGGATACAAGAACTTATGATATGTTTGAGGAATTGCAAATAGCTTGATGGTCCTGAACACTGCAGGTATGTTGTTGAGTGACAGTAGATAAGCCAGGTCCAAAAGATGCAGGCTAGTTCATGAAGTTTAAACACCTTGAACACCATGCTAAGGCTTTATCTTCAAGTCAGTGGAAGGTCATGGAATAATTTTAAGCAGGGTATTGACCTAGCTTTGCATTTTGGAGAGATTACTAATTATGTGGAAGATGAGTTTATAGAGAGACTAATGCATTATGCAAATTCTATAGTAATTCAAGTGAGAGATCATGATTGCCTGAGTGAAGGTCATGAGTCTAGAAAGGAGAGTGGCCTATAATCCCAACACAGGGAGGCTGAGGAAGGAGGATCTCTTGAGCTCAGGAGTTCAAGGCCAGCCTGGGCAACATAGGGAGAAGGGAGACCCTGCCTCTATTTTAAAAAAGAAAAGAAAAGGAGTGTGGATTAGAGAGAGGTGTCAGATCCACCAGTCTTTGTGATCACCTGGGGAAAGAGAGAAGTCACTGATGGCGCTCAGGTCTCTGGTCTTTGGATAGCCAGGAGGAGAAGGGACAGTAAAGGCCTTGAAAAGGAAAAATGGGGGCCAGGCGTGGTAGCTTACACCTATAATCCCAGCACTTTGGGAGGCTGAGGCGGGTGGATCACGAAGTCAGGAGTTCAAGACCAGCCTGGCCAAGATGGTGAAACCTCTTCTCTACTAAAAATACAAAAATTAGCCAAGCACGGTGGCAGGTGCCTGTAATCCCAGCTACTGAGGAGGCTGGGGCAGGAGAACCACTTGAACCCGGGAGGCAGAGGTTGCAATGAGCCGAGATCATGCCACTGCCCTCTAGCCTGGGCGACAGAGCAAGACTCTGTCTCAAAAAAAAAAAGGGGAAAGGAAAAATGGGCCAGGTGTGGTGGCTCATGCCTGTAATCCCAGCACTTTGGGAGGCCAAGGCGGGTGAATCACTTAAGGTCAGCAGTTCGAGACCAGCCTGGCCAACATGGTGAAACCCCGTCTCTACCAAAAATATTAAAAAATTAGCCAGGCTTGGTGGTGGGTACCTATAATCCCAGCTACTCGGGAGGCTGAGGCAGGATAATCACTTGAATACGGTTCTCAAAAAAAAAAAAAGGAAAGGAAAAGTGGGTAACAAGTGGATGCATGAGCAGGAGGAATGGGAGATGACTGACAGAGCAAGGCCCCTGACGAGGCTGGACAGGGTCTGGGGCTCTGGCATTCCAGCTTATTTGATCCAACCCACAATAAGAGATGTATTTTTGTATCGTGGCCCAATAATAAAGTGTATGTGTGTACACAACTGAAGAAGTTTTCATCTAAAATACTTTCTTACTATGTACAATGAAGCCTGATATTTTTATTCAAGTCTAGTCTCCATTTTTATGAGTTGTTACAGTGGGACCATTTAGTGTGACATTCCATTGGGTCATTCTCTGCAGTTTGAAATACGGTGGATTAGGACTAGGTGAAGGAGTCAGCCATCAGGAGGAAGGACACCTTGGCCTTGAGTCGTCTGGGACAAGGCTTAGGTGGGGTGCAGAAAGAGACCCTTCTTTATTCTCAGCACCTTTCTTACCACATTCTCCTGGCTCTTCTCCTTCCCAGTCACCTTTTCTGCTCCTCTTCCTTTTCTGGGTAAATCCAGGTGTTCTCTAGAACTCTTCTCTCAGTACTTCTTTAGTCTTGCTGCTTTACCCTCTTGACCTGGGTCAGGAGTTTGAGACCAGCCTGGCCAATATGGTGAAACCCTGTCTCTACTGGAAAAAAAAAAAAAAATTAAGAATTAGCCGGGTGTGGTGGCAGGCACCTGTAATCCCAGCTAATCGGGAGGCTGAGGCAGGGGAATCACCTGAACCCCGGGAGGCAGAGTTTGTAGTAAGCTGAATTCGAGCCATTGCACTCCAGCCTCGGCAAAAAGAGTGAAACTCCGTCTCAAAAAAAAAGGAAGTGATAGTGTCTGCTTCTTTTGCAGTGATCGTAAACTTGTTGATAAAGAAGATACCGACACTAGCAGCAAAGGAGGCTGTGTCCAACAGGCTACTACTGGCTGGAGGAAAGGGGCAGGCCTGGGATATGGCCATCCTGGATTGGCTTCATCAGAGGAGGTAAAATGGTTTCCATCTTTTGGGGGGTGACAGGAACCTGGAATGTAATTAACTTTCACTTTCTGACCTAGAGTGGTGTCTTTGTCATTTTGCTGGGCTTTCTCTACTGGTGGGATAGGACATGAGAGTTGAACACTTCAGTCTTCAATGCTGGGTTATAGCTTGGTAGGCTGGGCCCTTTGCAGTTTGGAGTTAGGAAGAGGAGGAAGGAGTTGGAATGGATTTCATCATACTCTTACACAGAGTAAATAGTAGAGCAGAATCTGAGGCAGTTTGAGACTGAAGAATCATTTGGTCAGAAGAACCAGGGTATCAGCAATGAAAAGTACAGAGGCATCCGTGAGAGGGACTGTCAGCGGAAGTCTTTGATGGCTAAAATTTAAGGAGCATGTAGTTCTCGTTCCCATGAAGGACTTTGCCCCTCATATTTCAAGAGCCTCTAGAGAAGGTGATAAGAGGGAACATTACCCATTTTGTGTTGGATTGGTTCTCCTCTGAAAATGCCAGCCATAAGAGATTGGCTTATTTTTCTCCGACTGAGTTTCTCATATCTCTGGTATTGAAGGCTGAATCTTCCAATCATAGCGTCACCACCCACCTTATTCATCTTGGGTATTTGTTTAATAATAAAAGATGGCCAGGCGCGGTGGCTCAAGCCTGTAATCCCAGCACTTTGGGAGGCCGAGATGGGCGGATCACGAGGTCAGGAGATCGAGACCATCCTGGCTAACACAGTGAAACCCCGTCTCTACTAAAAAATACAAAAACTAGCCGGGCGAGGTGGCGGGCGCCTGTAGTCCCAGCTACTCGGGAGGCTGAGGCAGGAGAATGGCGTAAACCCAGGAGGCAGAGCTTGCAATGAGCTGAGATCCGGCCACTGCACTCCAGCCTGGGTGACAGAACGAAACTCTGTCTCAAAAAATAAAAAATAAAATAAAATAAAATAAAAGATTCTATTTTTTTTTTTTTTTCCGAGATGGAGTCTTGCTCTGTTGTCCAGGCTGGAATGCAGTGATGCGATCTCAGTTCACTGCAAACTCCACCTCCCAGGTTCAAGCAATTCTCCCACCCCAGCCTCCTGAGTAGCTGGGATTACAGGTGTGTGCCATCATACCCAGTTAATTTTTGTATTTTTAGTAGAGACAGAGTTTCACCATGTTGGCCAGGCTGGTCTCAAACTCCTGGCCTCAAGTGATCCACCCACTTTGGCCTCCCAAAGTGTTGGGATTACAGATGTGAGCCACTGTGCCCGGCCAAAAGATTATTAAAAAAATTATCCTGCCAGGGTCCGGGCATAGTGGCTCATGCCTGTAATCCCAGCACTTTGGGAGGCTGAGGCAGTCAGGAGTTCAAGACCAGCCTGATCAATATGATGAAACCCCCGTCTCTACTAAAAATACAAAAATTCACCGGGCACTTTGGGAGGCCGAGGCGGGTGGATCACGAGGTCAGGAGATCGAGACCATCCTGGCTAACACAGTGAAACCCTGTCTCTACTAAAAATACAAAAAATTAGCCGGGCGTGGTGGTGCGTGCCTGTAGTCCCAGCTACTCAGAGGCTGAGGCAGGAGAATGGCGTGAACCCAGGAGGCAGAGCTTGCAGTGAGCCGAGATGGTGCCACTGCACTCCAGCCTGGGCGACAAAGCGAGACTCCGTCTCAAAAAAAAATAAAATAAAATAAAATTGGCCGGGTGCGGTGGCTCAGGCCTGTAATCCCAACACTTTGGGAGGCTGAGACAGGCAGATCACGAGGTCAGGAGATCGAGACCATCCTGGCTAACACGGTGAAACCCCATCTCTACTAAAAAATACAAAAAACCAGCCGGGCGAGGTGGCGGGCGCCTGTAGTCCCAGCTACTCCAGAGGCTGAGGCAGGAGAATGGCGTAAACCCGGGAGGCGGAGCTTGCAGTGAGCTGAAATCCGGCCACTGCACTCCAGCCTGGGCGACAGAGCAAGACTCCGTCTCAAAAAAAAAAAAAATTAGCCAGGCGTGGTGGCGCACACCTGTAGTCCCAGCTACTCAGGAGACTGAGGCAGAAGAATCACTTGCACTGGGGAGGCAGAGGTTGCGGTGAGTCAAGATCGTGATTGTGCCACTGCACTCTGGCCTGGGTGGCAGAGCAAGACTCTGTCTCAAAAAAAAAAAAAAAAAATTATCCTGCCAGGCGTGGTGGCTCACTACCCTTTGGGAGGCCGAGGTGAGCAGATCACTTGAGGCCAGGAGTTTGAGATCAGCCTGGCCAACATGGCGAAACCCTGTCTCTACTAAAAATACAAAAATTACCCGGGTGTGGTGGCAGGCATCTCTAGTCCCAGCCACTCAGAGGCTAAGGCACAACAATTGCTTAAACCTGGGAGGCAGACTTGCAGTGAGCCCAGATCGCACCACTGCACTCTAGCCTGGGTGACAGAGCATGACTCTTATCTAAAAAAAATATATATATGTGTGTATATATATGTATCTCCTATATACTGCTCCATACTAGTCCAGAAATGCCTGTGTTCAAAGACCAGCACTGAGGCTAATTAATCTATAGGGCCCACTTTATAGTTTGTCTTTGTTTTACAGGCTGAAGGCCGGATGAGGGTCCCCAGTGTTGGAGCCCCAGGAAGAACCAGCAAAAGACAGTCCAATGAGACTTACCGAGATGCTGTTCGAAGAGTCATGTTTGCTCGGTATAAAGAACTCGATTAAGAATGGAGACAAGTTCCATGGGACACAACCTCCTCCTTGTTTTGTTTGTCTCTCCTTTTCTTTTGTTACTGTTCTTGCTGCTAGAACTTTTTTAAATAAACTTTTTTTCAATGTGATTATCTTTTTGTTAATTTTTTTTTTCCAGAGATGGGTGGGAATGGGGCTACTAGTAGGAGGGAGAGAGTGCCTTGGTTCAGGCCCATTTGAAGTTATGCTGAAGTAGCAACTAGTGCTGCATTAAACCTTAGAATACTGCCTACTGTCAGTATAAGTAAGTGGGTTGCAATGACCTTTGAACCATAGCTTGTGTGAATGCTGTCAGACCATACAATTTATTTTCTTAATCTAATCAGCGAATATAGCATTTCATTATTTGTTTCTTTTATTTTTTAATAACTGCTTAAGCTGAACATATTGCATATGTTGGTTTACTACTTATTAGATCTTCAAAATTCTTCTGATTCCCTGTTATGGTAGAGTTGGGGGAAGGCGAGAACTCCTTTTCTGAGTGCCTGAAGAGTACTCCATGCTTCACACTTTATGATTAAAAGTTGGCATAGTGGCCGGGCGCGGTGGCTCAAGCCTGTAATCCTAGCACTTTGGGAGGCCGAGACGGGCGGATCACGAGGTCAGGAGATCGAGACCATCCTGGCTAACACGGTGAAACTCCGTCTCTACTAAAAAATACAAAAAAAAACTAGCCAGGCGAGGTGGCAGGCGCCTGTAGTCCCAGCTACTCCAGAGGCTGAGGCAGGAGAATGGCCTAAACCCGGGAGGCGGAGCTTACAGTGAGCTGAGATCCGGCCACTGCACTCCAGCCTGGGCGACAGAGCGAGACTCCGTCTCAAAAAAAAAAAAAAAAGTTGGCATAGTAAGGATCACCATTCCTCTCCAGGCACTGCCCAGCTCTTCTTCTCTCCATTGCTAAAATTCTCCAAAGAGGTATCTGCCCTCTTTCAAATCTTTCTCAGTTTCTCCATCATCACCTCTACCATTTTCCAGTATTTGCTTCAAAAATGAGGGTTTTTTTGTTTTTTGTTTTTTGTTTTTTCCTTTTTTGAGACAGAGTCTTATTTTGTGGCCCAGGCTGGAGTGCAGTGGCATGATCACCACTTACTGTAGCCTCGACCTCCCAGACTCAAGTGATCTGCCTGCCTTGGCCTTCCAAAGTGTTGGGATTACAGGCATGAGCAACAGGGCCCGGCCCAAAAGTGAGCCTTTTAAAAAAAAATTCTTTGTTGTTAAAAGGACTATAGGCCAGGCACGGTGGCTCACGCCTGTAATCCCAGCACTTTGGGAGGCCGAGGTGGGTGAATCACCTGAGGTCAGGAATTCAAGACCAGCTTGGCCAACATGGTGAAACCCCGTCTCTACTAAAAATATAAAAATTAGCCGGGCATGAGGGTAGGCGCCTGTAATCCCAGCTACTGAGGAGGCTTAGGCAGGAGAATCACTTCCAGGAGGTGGAGGTTGCAGTGAGCTGAGATCACGCCACTGTACTTCATTCAGCCTGGGCAACAAGAGCGAGACTCCATCTCAAAATAAAATAAAAGGACTATATAAGGCCAGGTGCAGTGGGTGGCTCACTTCTGTAATCCCAGCACTTTGGGAGGCCAAGGCAGGTGGATCACTTGAGGTCAGGAGTTCGAGACCAGCCTGGCCAACATGGTGAAACCCTGTCTCTACTAAAAATACAAAAATTAGCTGGGCATGGTGGTGCATACCTGTAATCCCAGCTACTCAGGAAGCCAAGGCAGAGAATCACTTGAGCCTGGGAGTAGGTTGCAGTGAGCCGAGATTACGTCACTGCACTCCATCCTGGGCGACAGAGTGAGATTCTGTCAGAAAAAAAAAAGGACTATGTAACTTACAAGCCTATTTTTGTTTTGTTTTAAATTTTGCTGTATTTCTTTGGCTATGAGAGCCTATTATAACTTATAAAAATCCTGGCATGGTGGCTTATACCTATAATCCCAGCACTTTCAGAGGCTGAGGTGAGAGGATCACTTGAGCCCAAGAGGTTGAGGCTGTAATGAGTGCAGTGATCATACCACTGCACTCTAACCTGGGCAATGGAGTGAGACCCTGTCTCAGAAAAATAAAATTCCTCAGGGTTACATATCACAGTACTAAAAATTTCACTTTGCACATATCTCAAGGGAAGAATGTTTCTTAGGAAGAGAACTGAGACCACCATCTTGATGGAATAAGGCAGGTCAGATCATCTTTAGCTGTATTGTCCTGGTGAGAAAGCAGCAATAGGCAATCTGTAAACAAGTGGTTGTGGCTGTGTTTCAATAAAACTTTATTCACAAAGACAGTATTGGCCTGTGAGTTTTAGTTTGCCAACCCCTTGGTTGTATGATCTGTATACATAAGGCTGGACCAGGGAGGGCTGAAATATACTCTGTTAAAGGTGGGTGGGGCGGAGGGTTTGGGAGAGATGGGTAGTGAGGAGTGGGAGATGTTAGGGAGAATATGCTTTTTTTTTTTTTTTTTTTTTTTGAGACGGAGTCTCGCTGTGTCACCCAGGCTGGGGTGCAGTGGCACGATCTCGGCTCACTGCAAGCTCCGCCTCCTGGGTTCACGCCATTCTCCTGCCTCAGCCTCCGAGTAGCTGGGACTACAGGCGCCCGCCACCACGCCCGGCTAGTTTTTTTGTTTGTTTGTTTGTTTGTTTGTTTTTTTGAGACGGAGTCTCGCTGTGTCTCCCAGGCTGGAGTGCAGTGGCGTGATCTCGGCTCACTGCAAGCTCCGCCTCCCGGGTTCACGCCATTCTCCCGCCTCAGCCTCCCAAGTAGCTGAGACTACAGGCGCCCGCCACCACGCCCGGCTAGTTTTTTGTATTTTTAGTAAAGACGGGGTTTCACCATGTTAGCCAGGATAGTCTCGATCTCCTGACCTCGTGATCCACCCGCCTCGGCCTCCCAAAGTGCTGGGATTACAGGCTTGAGCCACCGCGCCCGGCTTTTTTTTGTATTTTTAGTAGAGAAGGGGTTTCACCATGTTAGCCAGGGATGGTCTCGATCTCCTGACCTCGTGATCCACCCGCCTCGAGAATATGCTAAGAAGAAAACTTCAGGCCAGGTGCAGTGGCTCACGCCTGTAATCCCAGCACTTTGGGAGGCCCAGGAGGGCGGATCACGAGGTCAGCAGATTGAGACCATCCTGGCTAACATGGTGAAACCCTGACTCTACTAAAAATATAAAAAATTAGCCAGGCTTGGTGGCCGGCGCCTGTACTCCCAGGTACTTGGGAGGCTGAGGCAGGAGAATGGTGTGAACCTGGGAGGCAGAGCTTACAGTGAGCTGAGATCACGCCGCTGCACTCCAGCCTGGGCAACAGAGCAAGACTCCGTCCAAAAAAAAAAAAAAAAAAATCAACAGGAATAGTAAATCTGAATTTATTTGCCATGCTGTGTCCAGATCTAATTGTTCTCTTTAATAAATCTTTATTTATCCAAAACGGAAAACAAACAAAATCAGGAGCACATTAGCTTAGAAATTGAGAGCCCCATCTTCTGGGCCTTGCTACTACTAGTGCTGCATTACTACATAAGATGGGCCATTTGAATCTATCAGCACTAGACAAGTGCACTTTAAAAACCCTTCTCATCTAACGATGGTCTGCAGATTCATCTGTGAAGTAATTCATTGCATCCTGTCTGAGTAGGTCAAAACTCTTTGGAAGCTGGTCTAGTTTTGTCCTGAACTGGCCAGACCAGGTTTTCCTTCTAACCCTATGTCACCCAACTGGACCTGTCATAAGCTATGGAACACATTAAATGCTTCACTATTGAAGTTGTTAACATAGGCAGCATCCAATTATTAAGTGTTGGTATATGTTTTGGAAGCTTAGCCTACATGTCACTGGGGATTATAGCAAGACTGATGTTGGCTTCTGTGCCCATATAACTCAGTCCACTGGGAAAAATGGACATTGAGCAATTACTGACACAATGAGACCCTCAAGGGAGAAATACAGTAAGCTATGGGGACAGCATGACATAGATTTGTTTTTTTGGGTTTTTTTTTTGAGACGGAGTCTTGCTCTGTTGCCAGGCTGCATTGCATTGACGCAGTCTCAGCTCACTGCAGCCTCTGCCTTCCAGATTCAAGCGATTCTTCTGCCTCAGCCTCCCGAATAGCTGGGACTACAGGTGCATGCCACCACGCCTGCTAATTTTTGTATTTTTAGTAGAGACAGGGTGTCACCATGTTGGCCAAGATGGTCTCGATCTCTTGACCTCGTGATCTGCCCACCTCAGCCTTCCAAAGTGCTGGGATTACAGGCGTAAGCCACCGCGCCTGGCCTTTTTGGTTTTTTTTTCTTTTCCTTTTCTTTTTTTTGAGATGCATTTTTCACTCTTGTTGCCCAGGCTGGAGTGTAATGGCATGATCTTGGCTCACTGCAACCTCCACCTCCCATGTTCAAGCAATTGTCTTGCCTTAACCTCCCTAGTAGCTGGGATTACAGGCACCCACCACCATGCGTGACTAATTTTTGTATTTTTAGCAGAGATGGGGTTTCACCGTGTTGACCAGGCTGGTCTCGAACTTCTGACCTCAGGGTCATCCACCTACCTTGGCATCCCAAAGTGCTGGGATTACAACATCTTCCCTGGAGTAAGTGTTTTAAACTCAGACCTAGTTTGGCCCATGGCCTAGGTTTGTTTGCTCTTCCTAGTTTAACTTTTCCTTTGTGGTGGAGATTTTGCTTTTGGAAATAAGGTCTGAATTTTTTTTTTTTTTTTTTACTTTAAGTTCTAGGATACATGTGCAGAATGTGGAGATTTGTACATAGGTGTACATGTACATGTGCGTGGTGGTTTGCTGCACCTATCAACCAATCATCTGGGTTTTCTTTTTTTTTTTGAGACGGAGTCTTGCTCTGTCGCCAGGCTGGAGTGCAATGGCGGGATCTCAGCTCACCGCAACCTCCGCTTCCCGGGTTCAAGCGATTCCCCTGCCTCAGCCTCCCAAGTAGTTGGGACTACAGGCACACGCCACCACAACCAGCTAATTTTTTGTATTTTAGTAGAGACGGGGTTTCACGATGTTGGCCAGGATGATCTCGATCTCCTGAGCTCATGATCTGCCCGCCTCGGCCACCCAAA